GTTCCATGCAAATGTCAATGAAAAGAAAGCTGGGATAGTAATACTTATATCAGACAAAATAGACTTTAAAACAAAAATTCTAACAAGAGACAAGGGCACTACATAATGATAAAATGAACAATCCAACAAAAGGATATAACACTTGTAAATATCTATGCACCTAACATAGGAGCATCTAAATATGTAAAGCAATTACTAATGACAAAAAAAGGAGAAATAGACAGTTAACACAACAATAGTAGGGGACTTTATCACTCCACTTACACCAATGGATAGATCATCCGAACAGAAGACCAAAAAGGGAACATTGGCTTTAAATGACACATTAGATCAGATGGACTTAGTAGATATATACAGAACATCCCATCCCAGAACCACAGAATACAGATGCTTTTTGAAGTCACGTGGAATATTCTCCAGGATAGATCACATACTAGTCCACAAAACAAGTCTCAATAAATTTAAGAAGACTGAAATAATATGAAGCATCTTTTCTGACCACAACAGTAAGAAACTAGAAGTCAACTACAGGAAGAAAATTGGAAAAGCCACAAATATGTGGGCTTAAACAACATGCTACTGAACAACGATCAGGTCAATGAAGAAATCAAAGGAAAAATAAAGAAATATGTGGAGACAAATGAAAATACAACATGCCAAAATTTATGGAATACAGCCAAAGTGGTTCTAAGAGGGACATTTATAACAATACAAGCCTACCTCAACAAACAAGAAAAATCTCAAATAAACAATCTAACAGTGCATCTAAAGGAACTGGAAAAAGAAGAACAAACAAAGCCCAAAATCAGTAGAAGGAAGGAAATTATAAAAAGCAGAGGAGAAATAAATGAAATAGAGACTAAAAAAAAAAAGAAAAAATCAATGAAACTAAGAGCTAGTTCTCTGAAAAGATAAACAAAATTCACAAACCCTTAGCTAGACTCACCAAGAAAAAAGAGAGAAGGCTCAAATAAATAAAATCAGAAATGAAAGAGGAGAAATTATGACAGGAACCTCAGAAATACAAAATATAATAAGAGAATACTATGAAAAACTATGCCAACAAATTGGACAATCTAGAAGAACTGGATAAATTATTAGAATCATACAACCTTCCAAAACTAAATCAAGAAGAAATAGAGAATTTGAATAGACCAATAACCAGTAAGGAGATTGAATAGTAATCAAAAACCTCCCAAAATATAAAAGTCCAGGACCAGATCGCTTCCCTGGTGAATTCTACTGAAGATTCAAATAAGACTTATTACCTTTCCTTCTCAAACTCTTCCAAAAAAATTGAAGAGGAGAGGGTGGTTCCTAACTCATTCTAAGAGGCCGACATTACCATGATACCAAAATCAGAAAAGGAAAACAGAAAAAAAGAAAATTACAGGCCAACATCCTGATGAACTTTGATGTAAGAATCCTCAACAAAATACTAGCAAATCGAATGCAATACTTTAAAGAGACCATACACCATGAACAAGTGAGATTTATTCCAGGTGTTGCAGGGATGGTTCAACATCCACAATCAATCAATGTGATACATCACATTAACAAAACAAGGAATAAATATCACATGATCATCTCAATAGATGCAGAGACAGCATTTGACAAGATACAGCATCCATTTATGATAAAAAAAGCTTAATAAAATGGATATAGAAGGAAACATAACATCATAAAGACCATATATGACAAACCCATGGCTAATATCTTCTCAGTGGAGAAAAACTGAAAGCTATCCCTCTAAGAACAGAAACCAGACAAAGATGCTCACTTTTGCCACTCTTATTTAAAATAGTATTGGAAGTCCTAGCCAGAGCAATCAGCAAAACAAAGAAATAAAAGGGTTCCAAATTGGAAAAGAAGAAGTGAAACTGTCACTCTTTGCAGATGATATGATTTTATATTTAGAAAACCCTAAAGAATCCACCAAAAAACTTTTAGAAATAATAAATGAATATGGTAAAGTTGCAGGATATAAAATCAACATACAAAAATCAGTTGTGTTTCTATACACTAACAACAAAGTACTAGAAAGAGAAATTAAGAATACAGTCCCATTTACAATTGCAACAAAAGAATAAAATACCTAGGAACAAACAACAAGAGAGATGAGAGACCTGTATGCTGAAAAGTATAAAACATTGTGAAAGAAATGGAAGAAGACACAAAGAAATGGAAAGATAGTCTGTACACTTGGATTGGAAGAATTGGCATAGTTAAAATGTCCATACTCCCTAAAGCAATCTACAGATTCAATGCAATCTCCATCAAAGTTCCAATGACATTTTTCACAGAAATAGAACAAAAAAATCCTAAACTTTATATGGAACAACAAAGGACCCCGAATAGCCAAAGCAATCCTGAGGAAAAAAAACAAAGCTGGAGGTATTATACTCCCTGATTTCAAAGTATTCTACAAAGCTTCAGTAATCAAAACAGCATAGTACTCCACAAAACCAGACACACAAATCAATGGAACAGAACTGAGAACCCAGAAACAAACCCACACATATATGGATGGCTATTTTCAACAAGGGAGCCAAGAATATACCATGGAGAAGGGAAAGTTTCTTCATTAAATGGGAAGACTGGACAGTCACATGCAAAAGAATGAAAGTAGAAAGTAGACTATTATCTTATACCATACACAAAAATTAGCTCAAAATGGATTAAAGGCTTGAATGTAAGACCTGAAGCCATAAAACTTCTAGAAGAAAACATAGGCAGTATGCTCTTTGACATCAGTCTTAGCAGCATATTTTCAAATACGATGTCTGACCAAGCAAGGGAAACAAAAGAAAAAAAATAAACAAATGGGACTACATGAAACTAAAAAGCTTCTGCACAGCAAAGGAAACCATCAGCAAAATGAAAAGACAACCTAACAATTGGGAGAAGATATTTGCCAACCATATGTCTGATATGGGGTTAATATCCAAAATACAAAAAGAACTCATACATCTCAACAACAAGAAAAACTAACAACCCAATTAAAAATGGGCGAAAGATCTGAACAGGCATTTTTCTGAAGAAGATATACAAATGACCAACAGGCACATGAAAAACTGTTCAACATCACTAATTATTAGGAAAATGCAAGTCAAAACTACAATAAGGTACCACTTCACACCCATCAGAATGGCTATAATTAACAAGACAAGAAATAACAAGTGTTGGAGAGACTGTGGAGAAAGGGAACTCTCATGCACTGCTGGTGGGAGTGCAAACAGGTGCAGCCACTATGGAAAACAGTATGGAGACTCCTCAAAAAACTAAGAATGGAACTACCCATATGATCCAGCTATTCTACTGCCTGTATGCACCCCAAAATCATGAAAACACGAATGCATAAAGATACATGCACCCCTATGTTCACTGCAGCATTATTCACAATAGCCAAGACTTAGAAACAAGGTAAGTGCCCATCATCAGATAAATGGATAAAGAAGATGTGGTATATTTACACAATGGAATACTATTCAGCCATAAAAAAGATGAAATCTTGACATTTGTGACAACACTGATGGACTTTGAGGGTATTATCCTAAGCAAAATAAGTCAGAGGGAGAAAGTCAAATACTGTATGATCTCACTTGTAAATGAAAGATAAAGACAACAACAACAACAACGAACACACAGATACAGAGATTAGATTGGTGGTTACCAGACGGGATAAAGGGAGCAGGGGGGCAAAAGGGATGACTAGGCTCACGTGTAAGGGGATGGATAGTAATTAATCCTTGGCCTGTGAACACGATGTAATCTACACAGAAATCGAAATATAATGATGTACACCTGAAATTTATATAATGTTATAAACCAAATGTTGCCTCAATAAAAAACAAACAAATAAATAAATAAAACCAAAACCAAACAAACAAACAAAAATCTTCCTTCAAGTAATAATTTTCCTGAGACTTCTTCGGGGCGGGCAGGCCTTCGCATATCTACTCCTGCTCTACATTGTGGTCTTCAGGACGGTGCTGGATGTAGGATGCTGAAGAGCTAAGGATTCTATCCTTGTGTTACTAAGCAAGTGAAGCATTGAAACAAGAGGAAATATCTCTCTAGGAGAAGGAGCCCCACGCTCTGCTAAGCTTTAATGTTCTCTGGCAGCCTGCTTCTAACTGGAAGTTGCTGGGAAGGTCTGAGACTTTGTCAATAGAAGAACATCCTGTGCCTGTGTAAAACTTCTTTAAGGCTGCTGCACACCTTGGTTGTCTTTAACTTTATTTTTCCAAAGAACTAAAAGTGATTAAGGGATGAAGAGGGGGCAGAGAGAAAGTGGAAGGAAGTAACCGTTTTTCCCTTGAACTCACTTTGCACAGAAAGAGGTACTAGATGAAAGTGGGAGTCCTATGGCTGCCAGTGTTCCAGGTGGCTTACAAAGTTGGCAGGAATGGTACCACGGAAAGAGATTCTGCCCTCCTATGCTGTAGACCACAGCTGTGCAACTTTAGAAGCAGAATCGAAAAATATCCTTCCCTGGACTACTTGTCTTCCTCTCAGTGCCCAGTTTCTCTCCTTCCCTTACAGTTCAGCTTTTGTAACTTCTTGCTTCCCCTTTACTCTCCAGCTCCTTACCCCACCAGCATACAAAACTGCTCTTGCCACCTTTAGCACCGTCATTCTAATTGCCAAACCCAGTGAAGAATTCCACTCATCTTCCTTGACCTTTCTTTAGTAATAAATACTACTGACCACTTCCTTTTGCTTAAAATGTTTCCCTTGATTATTGTCTTGATTCTTTGCTGACACTTTGAGCAATTTTTCTGAGTCTTCCTCTGAATTTACCTAAACCCTCTGCCTTCACTTGCAGAACCAGAGATTCCTCTGGGTTCCTGCCCCATGACCCTATTCTCTTACCACTCTGCTACTTTCCTGGGGTCTTCTCATGGTCATCATCCAATGGCCCCCAGTCAGCATCTCCATCCCTGACTTCCCTCCGGAGCATGAGGTCTACAATCCAAATGCAAAGCAAATATCTGAGCACGTGTCCGGAGGGAGCTGCTGGCAGAGGCTTCTCAAGGGCAAGGGCTTTGACTCATCAGGTCTGAATCCCAGCCATAGTAGAGAGCGGATGCTTAATGCTTAATAAATATTTTATGGATGAATGAATAAATTATTGAACAATGGCAGGAAAATGACAAAAAGTAAGATGCACGTGTGCTGAATAGGAAAATGTTGGGAAAATATGTGATAGTTATAACTAAGTACATATGGTTGCAGCAGCAACTGCATCAAATTTAAAGGTGTACTACAATTAGGTAGAAGAGCACAAGAAGGCTGTGCAAAAAAATATGCTCTTGGCACTTTGTATCATTCTGTTTGAGTGTGAGAGAAACAAGGGGCATGATGGCTCACTCTCTTGTACACCCCACGTGAGAGAACAATTGAGCAGGACTCACTCTCTTAACTCCATGTAGGTGGGCTATAGGGGTAAGTGGAGGAGAAGTAAGGGAATCAAGGACTGTTACCATAGGTGGTCTGTCTCAGGAAAGCCTGAAAGGGCATCAAATAGCAGCAACTCTTAGAAGTGGGGGAGGAGAAAGCAAATTTCAATCTAACCCTCCTGGGTGGGTGTGACTCTCTGAAAGCCTCTAGCACCAAGTGGGGCTCATATAAGGGATGTATGTTCTTACTAACAGACAATATCACTGACCTGTGGGTCTATAACCTATAGACCCTATAACCCACCTGCAAAGTCTTCCATCAAGTGGGACCAGGGAGGGAAGACCAAGGATCTCTCCCTTGTCCAAACCCTTCACATCAATCTCTCATCATCTAAATCCTGTTGGCTTTACCTTCTGACAAGATAGATACCTGGTTGTTCTCCAAATCTCCACTTTACTGCTACAGCACTAGTTCAGATATCATTGTTGCTTTCCTGGACCAGGGCAATCATCTTCTAATTGGTCTCTTTTCCTCAAGATTACCCATCTTCAATTCTTTCCCTCTAATACAGTCCAAACGATATTCCTAACACAAAAACCTGATAATATTGCTTCACTACTTAAAGTCCATCAGCTGTTCCTACTCCCTGAACAAGACATGTAATCTCTTCAAGATGCTACATGCAAGACCCTTCAAGATGTGGCTTCCTCCTATTTGTCTGGTCTCGTCTCTTGCCATTACCCCTCAATTACCCCCACACAAACAAAATTCTACATTTATAACAGACATCTTATAGTTTCCTTAATGTACTGTATGTTCCCCATGTTCTTCTTCTGCCCAGGGCACCCTTTCCTTCTTGTGTGCCTAGTTCTATAAGTCCAAAAATCTCCCCCTCAGAGAAGCCTTTCCTGTCACCAATCTCCTCCACCCCACACCACGTTATGTGCTCCCTCTATATTGCCTGTGTACTTTCCCATTATTATTTCCATAACCATTGATATATTAATTGCCTACAATGTGTCAGGCACTGTTCTAGGCATGCATTGACATTAAAATGGTAAAAACAGACATAATTCCCGTCCTGATGGAATGGACGTTCTACTGAGGGAGACAAACAATGAAACAACCACCAATAAACGCACAAGAGCACTGAACAAGTAAATGTGAAAAATATAAGATAACGATATATGCTAGGTAGAGAATTCAATGGGGTCGTGTGATAGAATGACTGGTTGGTTATATAAGACAGAGAGGTCAGGGCAGATCTCTCAAAGAGGTGACATTGAAGTTAAGAGCAGAATGATGAGAAGAAACCATATCATGAGAAGCAGGAGGAAGAGCGTTAAAGAGAGAAGAAAAGGCTAATGCAAAGTCTTTAAGGTGGAAGTGAAGTGTGGAGAGTTCAGAGAACATGAAGACATCAGTGTGGCTGGAATAGAATGAGCAAGGGGAAGAAGAGCATGAAATGAAGATCTGGTGACAGATCACTCTGGGATTTGGAAGCGAAAACAAGGGGAGGAGGTTTTATTCTAAGTGAGCAGGGCAGAGGAATTTTTAAGAGAGGTAGTGATGTGGTCTGATTGATGTTGAAAATTGGGAGGTCCTAGAGCTTAATTGAAAAGATAGGTTGGGGCCAGATCTTGTGGGTCTGAAACGACAGTCGGTAGAAGGGATCCAATTTCCAGGGTTCCGAACAGAGAATCATCCTGAACAGGTGCATCTAAGAATGTTTTTTGGATGAATTAGAAGCAGGGTGGCTGAGCTGCAGGAGGCTACTGTGATAGTCCCAGTGGGAATTAAGGAGAGCTTGGCTTGGGCTGGGGTCAATGAGAAGGCAAGGGAGGGAGGTTGATGTGAGGGTCGTTGAGGAAGCGAACCACACAACTTGTTGGTGGCAAAGTCCGGATTTTACAATGCATTACAACTGACAATTTCCCTTACGTTTCTGTGTGGTGGCATAGCACAAATATTAGTAGCTCCAACTTAAAAGTAGAAAGTGAAACACAGTGAAAAACGAGGTCTCTAATCCAAAAAGCAAATTAGAACTAAAGGCAAGTAGGAGCCCAGGACATCAACTCTAAGAATCAAAGCATATATGTAAAGCAGACTACTGATTGCCATTATTTTGAGTGAAATATTAGCATTAAAAATAAAGTAGCATACCTAAAATTTTTAGTCTTTTGGACAATGGCAGAGCTATATTCCTACAAATATCAAGGGTTAATTTTGTGTTTAACTTTATAAAATTTCTGTTTTGCTTTTCAAACAGAGAAGTTAGACACCTAGAAGACAATATAATGAATGTCATTTATGAAACCACCACGTTTCTACTCTCTAGGGTTAGGTCCAGGGTCTTTCTTCAGTTCCATCTGTTCTGTGGTAAGTCATTTTGATTTTTGAGTTCTTGATTAATAATAAGCTTCCATTTACAGAATTCTGAAGCTGCACATTCTAAGAGCTGGTGGCCAGCCCAAGAGAGTGGGAATCATTTAGTTGCATTTTGAAAATCAGGTAATGGAAGAAAGAGTAAGAACTAGAAGCCACAGACCTACGATGGTTAAAAGGTATAAGTGGAAGCGAATCCAGACCTGCTCCTTAGCCCCCTAAAGCTCTGATGAATATTGGCATAATTTAACTTTAAGTCCCAAACCTGGAGCCCTTGTCTGAGAGCTATCTGATTGAAAACACCCCACCAGATAACCCTTAACCTCTTCCCTCAGGTCCTAGAGGTTAATTGAAGCCACTCTCTGAACTTGAAGCCAAATTATATACAGAGTTTGAGATTCCTGAATCCCAAAGGTTAAATGTGTTCAAGAGCAAAAGAGGAGATCTTGTCTTTGGAATATTTAAAACAATTTCAGGGCTGGAGTTCTTAGCACTTCAATGCAGAGTTCCAGTCTAATTTCAGGATGCCAACTGAGGAGCTTCTAAGCATAAAGCATAGGAGGTGATAGGGTGGAGTTCTTAACCTGGGACCCGTGTGGAGGTCTGGGAACCCCTGCAGTTGTCCCAAAGCTTGGTGTTTATGTGGATGTTTGTGTTTTCATCTAGGAAGAGAGCTTGTAACTTTCATCAGAATCTCAAAGAACTCTATGATCCGATATGTTGACAGACCTCTGAAATAAGGGAGGATCCCAAAGAGAATAGAAGGAAGGGAGAATAACTGCTCATTCATTTAAGTTGAGCAATTCAGAAGAAATATGATGTGCAAAACAGGAGACAAAGTCATCTACATTCTTATGTCATTGGGGTTCAGACTTAGGACAGACGCAGACTCCTTCCTCTTCTCTTCATCGTCCTCTTAGCTCTCTTCTCCCCAACACAGAATGTCCTCATTATAGTGGATGAGCTGAAGTGGTTTGGGCCTTACCTCATCTTCATGGCGTTTGAAAAGTGGACTACAGTAAAGTAAAGAGGTGGGATAAATCAAGTTTAAGTGCTACTTTCTCCTGGAATCCCACAGAAAGGGGCTCTAAACCAGAGACAGTCTGGCTCTTCTCTAGCCACAGACTGCAGGATTTTGGAGCCTGGAACTGTGTGAGATACTCTTGGTAAGTTGGAGGTAAAACCATGTACGTCTTATCTAGGATAATGCTAATGAGCTCAAGAATGCCTTTTTCCTTGGATCTTCCCCGGATCCCAAACTCCACTAAAGCCCAAGAATTTTCTCTTTCTCATAACAAGAATAGCTAACATTTATGAATCAGTTACTATGTGCCAGCCTCAGATCTAAATACCTTTTGGTGTAATCTTATTTAATCTTCACAATGACACTACAAAATAGAATACTATTATTATCTCCATTTTACAGATGAGGAAACTGAGTCACTAACAGGATTGAGACTTAAGGCAGAAATGGGAACCGTGTAGATGCTCCACATCAGTCTCAGCAGACTTGTAGGGCTCAGAGACAGAGTTAGCAGGGCTGGGGATGAGAAACCATTCAACCGTAGGCTTGACCCAGGGCATTTGCTCAGCCTTGCATTCAACCCAGAGAGAAGAGCAGTCCTGAAGAAGAGTGTGGAGGGTTTACCAAGATCTACTCCAAAAGCCCTGATAGGAAAAACAGCATCTGTGGAGCCAGAGGACAGGAGTCCAGATGCAGACAACATTGAATGCGGCCTTCGGTAAAGCACCCAGCCTCTGTAAGGCACAGCAGCTTCACCTGTAAAATGGGAATTACAACCTCCACTCACAAGGATATGAGGAGGGTCAAAGTGGACAGCAGGTTTTGAAATGTATACTCCAAAGGGCTAGTCAACGTAAAGCTCCATGGCTGCTGCTATTTCTCACTTTCTGAACCTTTGCCTGCCTATCTCAGCCCCAAATCACTTCAGCTCATCCCCTTCCCATAAGAAAGAGAAATGAACTTACCATCTCCTTTGCAACTCGGTTGGCTTTCTGCCGTCTGTCCAAGACAGACTTCTTATAGTTTTGCTGCCTCCCCTCAGTGTCAGTCTGTTTAGAAAAGCAACTTCCTATTCGCTTTCCAGAAATTCACCACAGCCCTTCCCCCGAGCTTAGAACGTTGATAGGACGGGAGCCCTGCTGGCAGCTTAGAAACACCAGTCACCGAGGGCACAGGGGTCACCCACTTCCATGGAAGATGGCTGGAGCAGGGGCAAGCATGAGTCATTCCTGGACGTCCAGGCTGAGCAGTGCAGGAACAGTCCCCACACCCCTAGGGGTCAGGTTTCCGTTGATTATGAGGTGAGTCCCAATGTAACATCATGTATTCAGAAAACATACTTTGTCTTAATCACAATATCCTATAGTAAATTTTCCAGTTATTGGAAAATCTCAGTGAATATTTACTATTCCAGCAGGCTTCTAAGGGAAAGGAGCAAAAATAGTAATGAAACATAATAAGGTAGGAAAGGGAAAAGCCACTGAGGGTTTTCTGGCGATTGGGAGTGATTGTTGGAAACAGTTTTGAAATGAAATATACAATAGACATGGGTCATAATTAGAAAAGAACTTCTGTTTCTCATATCATAAAGATGGAAGGCTTAGTGTGTGGGAGTCAAAGGCTGTGTGGCACTGACTCGAGCTCTGATTAAGCTACCTGAGACCCATCTTGGCTCCATGTGTGGCTTTCCATTAGGCACGTTACTTGAACTTTCTATGCCTCTGTTTTTTTCAACTGTGAAACAGAATGATAATAACAGAACCTACCTTACAGGGTTGTTGTATGATCAAAGGAGTTAGTATGTGGAGAGTGCTTGGAACCATATCTGGCGCACAGCTGGCGCTCAACAAATGTAAGCTACTGTTGTTACTTTTCAGATTTCAGACAGTAAATCAAGTACGTAGTGTCATAAGAAAACCGTAACTCCAATTTATCCTCTTGGAATTCTCGTTGTGTGGTGCTGGGTGCTATTCTTCGTTCACTCTATGATTGTCACAGCCTGTAAGTAGGCATCTCATGGATAGATTAAAAATTAATCAATTGGAAAGATCTGGAAGGAAGTCTAAAGGTAAAGATGATTTAAGGAGCTTGGGGCTGCATTTGCACTTAGGGATTTAGGACCAAGAGGAACAGCTAATTACAGAGTAGAAATAGAAAGCCTGGTGAAGGAGGTGGTCATAGGGGAACAATAGGAAGGGAACAAGAGATGTTGACAAAGAGGAAAGAATGGGGAGCTCGGAGGCAGCATGATGCCACGGTTTCAGCCCAGCCCTGGAGCCAGACTGCCTGGCTCCACCACCTACTGGCTGTGTGACCTGGGCAAGTGACTACCCTCCTTGTGACTTAGTGCCCTCAGCCATATTAGTAAGTAAGGATGATAGTCACCAATTGTCACTGCATAGAAGTGTTAGGACATTAAGCGGGTTTACATGTGAAGTGCTTAGAACAATAGCTGGCACCCTGTAAGTGTGCTGAGAGGCTAGCTATTATTTTTATAAGAATTACCTCCACTGCCTTCTGATCTTATTTCACTCTCCAGCCCCTTTTTGGCATTGCCTCATTTTTTTTTTTTTAATTTCTCGGATGGGTCTGAGGGAAGGTCCTATGTAGACTATAGGTGCTTGTTAATAATGTGTTGTAAGCTGGATAATGTTAAATTTAAGGGAGTATGAGGGAAGGAGAAAAGGAGTCCTAGGAATAGGAATGGGAGGAAAATATCAATTGACTTTGTTTCAAAGCTGTTCAGGCTGAATACCACTTGCTCTCATGAATATAGTCTATGTAGAACATTTGTGTTGTTTCTAATTATGTGGCCATCAAAAATATTATATAATTCCAGTATAATTTAATTAGTAGTGTTATTTATCTGTCTCATATACGTTTTCTCATCTCTTCATATTATACTCTAAATTCTCAGAGGGCAGGGACCCTTTTGTCGACAAAAATAATCCATAACCAATCTATAAATGAAAATTTGGGTGAGTTTATTCTGAGCTAAAATCTGAGGACCATGGGCTGGGGACTTTCTTCCCCAAGGAAGAAAGGACACCAAAGAAGTGGGGTGCACAGAGTGGTTATATACCCCCAAACAGGGTGTTTCACATATGATTGAAATGTCCCTTTTACAATAGTCGCGAGACTGTTCTGCAGGCACAGCGATTGATGGACACAGCAGGTAGCTCTGCTGTCTCGGTGAACACAGCAGGGTGGCAGGTCTGTTGTCTCGAGCTGGGTGGTCACAGGTGAGCTGGGTGGTCACAGGTGAGTGCAGCAATCAGTTCCTAGCCTAAGGAAAGATGCCTATCCCTGAGGAAATGCCAATGTGGGGGGGGAGTTGCACCTTTATCTTAAGGGCATTTGTTCTTGCCATAGGAAATGCTTAAAGCAGATATACAATGCGTGCTCAACAGCCACAGTCAGGCCCTTTTGGAAAAAACAAAGTCAGGCCGAATTAGGTTGACACCAAATGGCTTCCTCATATACTCCAATATATCCTATTGCTTGACGTTTCAATTTGTCACTTTCTTACATTAGTCTTGCTTCTCCTTGAGTATCTAGCAGAAGGCAAATAGACACTCAACAAAAACTTGTTGATTCGTTAATTAGATTGATGACTCTGGGTAGACACAACGAAAGTTCTCCCTCCCATCGTCCTCTCTGGATTCTATTTATCTTATTACAGCGGTGCAGTCACATACACAAGAAAAGGTTAAGTCCCTTCCAGGCTCCAGGCAGTGCGCTAGCACTAGGGGTCAATGATGAACAAAACCCTTGTGGAGCGCATGGTTGTTGTCTTTTGGGGTGGTGGGGGGGCATGAGATACTAAGTAAAAATCACACAAATAAATGCAGGGGGAAAAAAATGTGGTGCAATGAGAGTCTGATGGAACTTGGCCTGAGGAAGGCTCCCCAGAGAGAGTGACTTTAGAGCCGAGGTCTTAATTTGAATAAGGAGTACAAACTTTCACTTATGAAATACGTGAGTCACGAGGATGTAATATACAGAAAGGAGAATATAGTCAATAATACGTAATAACGTCACATGGTGACAGATTGTTACTAGACTTGCTGTGGTGATCATTCTGTAATGTATATAAATGTCGAATTACTATGTTGCACACCTGAAATTAATATGTATGTATGTCAACTATGTTTCAATTAAAAAAAAATTGAATAAGCATGACCACACTGGGTAGGGAGTCCATTCTAGGCCAGTCAAGGCTCGGAGTAGCGTGGGAGCCTCCACAGTGGCTGGAGGCTGGTAAAGGAGGCTGAAGAGGTAGGGGGCACCCAGGCCACGCCAAGTCTCACAGGCCGTGTTGAGGATGTATCTTCATGCACACCATCTGTCATGGGGTCAAAGAGGAGGCAGTTAATTCCCCAGGGAAGTCCCACCTGCACAGCTGGTCCCTCTACTCAGAGAAGATTAGGGAACTTTCTACACAATAAGCTGTAGGCTGACAAGTTAGAATTTAAAAAAGAGAAAATATAGCTTTTTTTTCTCTTATCATTACTATAATACATGTTAATTGCAAAAATAAAAGAAAATTCAGGTAAGTACGGAGAAGTGAAAGAATCACCCATAATACTGTCACCAATAGAACTGGGATCAATTTGTACATTCAGGTACATTTAGTACAATGCTTTTTATTTGATAATATATCATAAACCTTTCTGATATTTTAAAATATATTTCTGCTCTAGTTACAATGAAAAAAACTCCCGAGTGTCTGTCCCTCCCCTGATGGCTGACACTATCATGGACAAAGATGTCAGCTCTCCCCATGCAGCTTTAGGAAGATATCTTACACAAGGTTCATGAACTTCTAACACTTCTGCTGCAATTCTATTTAAATGGTCTGTGGTATTCTGCTCAGTACTTCTTTTCTCTATCTTTGCTCTCCAGTTTTTGAAAGGGAAGGAAAGGCAAAGAAATGAATCATCTTGGCAAAGATCTCAAGCAGCAAACATGAACTTTCACAAAACCATCCACTCAAACAACCTTAAATAGAGATCGGATTCTCAGGAGAAGCTCCACATCACCATATTTATGCCCTCTTAGCCCCATCCAGGAGTTCATTTATTCATCCTTCACATTTTTGTGAGGGCCTGCTCTGTGCTAAGATCTAAGCTATGCTCTGCA